GTAGTATATCAGTAGTATCAGTATTTAGTATTGATCAGCAGATATTTACCTGCTCTTGTCTCCATTTAACACAAACATTTGAGCTCATTTTGTTTTTCCTGAAGGACTTTAACACTTTAACAGTTTAACACTTTAACACTTTAACAGTTTAACACTTTAACACTTTAACACTTTAACACTTTAACACTTTAACAGTTTAACACTTTAACAGTTTAACAGTTTAACACTTTAACAGTTTAACACTTTAACACTTTAACACTTTAACACTTTAACAGTTTAACACTTTAACACTTTAACAGTTTAACACTTTAACACTTTAACACTTTAACACTTTAACAGTTTAACAGTTTAACACTTTAACACTTTAACACTTTAACAGTTTAACACTTTAACAGTTTAACACTTTAACACTTTAACACTTTAACAGTTTAACAGTTTAACTGTGATGAAACTCTGTTAACAACATGTTTCAATCAAACCGTGAGACATTTTTCTTTTAAAAAATGTTCACACTTTGTCTAAAATGTGTGTGATTTGTATTAATTGTGTTTTATTGTTATTTTATCTTGTTTTGTAGGATTATTTGTTCCTGACAGAGCAGAGACAACAGATGACCGTTAGCCTGGAGCTAACTCTGAAACATTTATTAATGTCCTTAAAATATAAATAGATTCAAAAACTCCCAGCTGTCTTCAGAGACGCCTTCTGGCAGCTTATTAATAAACTGTATTATTATTATTATTATTATTATTGTTGTTGTTGTTGTTGTTGTTGTTGTTGTTATAAATGACTCAAACTGAGAATGAAACACATCTTTAGTCTGAAACACAAAGCAGAACCTGATGAGCTGAACAGTTTTTCTGGAGGTCTTCTGAGGACCCTGAGGACCGTCAGGACCCTCAGGACCGTCAGGACCCTCAGGACCGTCATGACCGTCAGGACCCTGAGGACTCTCAGGACCCTGAGGACTCTCAGGACCCTGAGGACCGTCAGGACCCTGAGGACCGTCAGGACCCTCAGGACCGTCAGGACCCTCAGGAC